AAATTTAGAAATGGAATTTACAAAAGAATTGATATACAATCAATATGTTTTAATTTAGGTTCGTATGTATTGGTCAGGTATGTGTCACATGTATTAATGTAATACATAATATATAAATGTGTGAGGGACATTTTGGATGTTAAACACAAATTTGCTAGTCATTTCAAATCAAAAAAATCTAATGTGTTATTTTTGGAAAGCGTCCTTAATTCATGTAAATATAAATGTGTGTGTGTGTGTGTGTGTGTGTGTACGTTTGTGTATGTGTGAGGAATGTCTACACATGTTAAGTATATATCGGTGAAATGTAGCAAAATGTTGCAATAATTTCAAAAAATTGTGATTTTTATAAAAAGGAATATTTATCTTTTTCAAATATATAAAGTACAACACACACACACACACACACACAAATATTATATATATATATATATATATATATATATATATATATATTTAAAAACATTGAATAAAAAAAACATTAAATTTAAAAAAAAATTTAAATTTTCAGATTTATAAATGGTTGTATATATTAATATTTTTAATTTTATTATTTCAATAAGGTTTCTCAAAGTTTCAGCCAAAATGGTTTAAATCATCAGGAGAAAAAAAAAAATGCTTTTTTTAGTAATTAAAACTAAAGGAATGAATGACTTTCTGAAGAAAATACAATATATATTTATATAAATTAAATTTTTTTTTTTTATCATTTTTATTGTCTTTGTGTATGTCAAATGGCCATTTTTATTTTTTTTTAAGATAATAATAGATAGATTCATGTGACTCTAAATTCCCTTGGTCATTTTGACAGTTTTATTGGTTCCTGGGAAGGGATTATTTTTGTTTGTGATATATATATATATATATATATATATATATATATATATATATATATATATATATATATATATAAGCAAATATATGAATATTCTAATTCCGACAGTATAAAAAAATATACTGAAAAAAAACAAAAAAAATCTAATATTAAAAAACAGCATAATTCAAATTAAAAATTTTTTTTTTCAGTATATTTTCAATATTATATTAATATATATATATATATAAGTAGACATTGAGGTCCAACAAAACAGGTGACAGTCTACTATGAAAATGATTAGATGCAATCAGCAGATAATTTTGATGTGTTCAAGCATGAATTTTTGATTTGCCATTTTTGTTCAATTTCACCTCAATTTTATTTTTATTTTACATACACTCTATCCCAAATATATAGCACTCTAACTCAAATTATAAAAATAACTTAAAAATTCTTTTATCTTATCATATATATATATATATATATATATATATATATATATATATATAACAGGATTTGAATTTGGATTATATAGCAATGATTTTATTGGATCTATCTATCTATCTATCTATGTTTTATATATATATATATATATATATATATATATATATATAACAAAAATTAACCACATATAATTTGATAATTAATATGTATATTAGAAAAAACAACTAAAAAGTTGCAAATTAAAAAAATAATTTTTTTTTTATGAATGTATTTATTTATATTTGATATTTCTGATTCAAATTTTGAAAAAGTTCTTTACGTTGATCTGAACTTTATCAAATAACAAATAAATTTTTTATAAAAAATATTATTTTTTAATTTTTCAAGATTTTTTTTGTTTTATATATATATATATATATATATATATATATATATATATATATACAGGGTGTCCATAAAGTTTGTGTGCACTTTAAAAAATTTATAACTTTATTTGTATTTGCGATAGAAATAATCTGTAAAAAAATGTTATAAAGTTTAATGTACCTAGTTTTAAGTATAGCTAAAATAACTAATGTGATTTCAGGCATTACTGTAAATCAGTTGGCAAATGTTTTCCGTGAACTGCAAAATCGTATTACCCTTTTGTATTGCTAATGATGGAGGACATGTGGAAACTTAAATAAAATTTCAATAAAACCTTAAAAAATATAGATTTATTTCTTTTTCTAATCTTTTTTTTACAAATTATTTCTATCGCAAATACAAATAAAGTTATAATTTTTTTAAAGTGCACACGAACTTTATGGACACCCTATATATATATATATATATATATATATATATATATTTATTTATAAAGAAAATAATTTTATGGGTAATCCCAAGGAGGAGGAAATCCTTTTTGCTCAATGAAAAATCCAGAAATATTTTAAAGAAAAACAGACCACTTAAAGTTTCCATTATAATTTTTATAACTCATAGCCCTTTTAAAAAATAGGTGATTTATCATCACTGATATATTTATCAAAAAAGTTTTCATTTCATCTGATGATCTGGCGTCTTTAAAAGGGCTCTTTGAAATATTAAAATTAATTAAGAAGATATAATGTTTTAAAAAGTATAAATTTTTTCTTATATATATATATATATATATATATATATATATATATATGAAAATTTATATTGGAAATGATATATATTTTTATTTGAAGAACAATTTAAGGGAAATCTATGACAAATTGTAAAAAATTTTCAGGATTTAGTGGAATAGTTTGTGGCTCGGATTGAGTAATCAGAGAGCTGAGTTTGAATTCGGTCAATCCATTACATTTGATTACATAATTTTATTTGGGAAATTATTAATCCCAATATCTCCTCCAGCTATGGTTTAAATAGCAGGACATTTAGTTCTATAGTTTTTTTTTTTTTAGTCTAGAGAAGGACAACTTTGAATTCAAAACCTGCAGAGGATGTTTTTTTTGGCATTTAGTGCACCAGGTTTTTTATTTACAACCCGAATCAAAAAGTGTAGTTGATTCTCCATAGGATATCATTTCTATAATCAAATTTATCTATTGGGCCCTGGGCTATCGGTACAATTAGGAGAGAATGAGCTACTTGATCCTCATATGTTGAATACAACAGGAGAGTCCAATATACCTTTCTATATATATATATATATATATATATATATATATATAGGCATATATGGGAAAATAATATCTAAATTTTTATACATCAAGATCAATTTAAGGGAAATCTGTGACAAAATGTAAAAAATTTTCATGTGACACATTTCATCCTTTAAGACTTCATCAGACTTAATTCTAAACTGATGTTTGTGCCAATGTGAGTACATATGCACACAAAGGAGAGAGGATACTGGGAATTTTAATTTGGTTTTCCTTTGTTTTGTTTTATGGTATATCAACACTTCAGTGGGTTATTTAATGCCAACAATATTTTTATTGCTGGTAATATTCTTTTTTTCAAAAATGTATTTCTGGAAATTTGTTTTGTTTTTTTTTTTTTTCAAAAATACATTTCTGGTAATTTTTTTTTTTTTAAAAATGTATTTCTGTTTTTTTTTTTTGTTTTTTTTTTTTTCAAAGATGTATAGCTGGTAATTCTTTTTTCAAAAATGTATTTCTGGTAATTTTTTTTTTTTTCAAAAATGTATTTCTGATAATTTTTGAAAAAAAAAATGTATTGCTAGTAAAATAATTTTTTACAAAAAATTTCTGATATTAAAACCTATTTTTAAATCTTTCATAGTGATTTGACCCCAGTTTGAGGGTTAACTATTTACCTATAGCTGTATTTTATTCTATAAAAATCTATGAATTGCTACCACCCCAGGTATAAGGGTAGACCATGAAAAAAAAAGAAAAAAAAATGAATACAATTGGATAGACAATATGCCTGACATATATGTTTAAATAAAAATGCATTCTAGTACACACACATTTTTTTGTCTACCAAGAAACAAAAAATTTACAGGTATATAGAGTGGAGCCTATGAAATATTTTAAGATGTTATTTGTATATTATGCCTGAGCTATTTAGAAGCACACCCCCCAGGATAAATGGTAGTTTCTCCTATATGAGAGGGAGACAGGTTTCAACCCTGCTGGAAGGTGCATTTTTTGGCAAACATAGATAAATGTGCCCACAAAAAAAGCAGTGTCAAAAGGACAGCTTTTCCCTTGACATTTTTTATTATTTTAACTACCTCCCATCCTTGGCAATGTCTGTTGCTTTAAAAAGCAATAATTAGAATTGGAATAAAACCTAGACATAAGATGAAAGTAAATTTATACCTTTTTTGTTCTTGAGAATTAACAGCAAAAATAATAATGTGTGTGTGTGTATGTGTGTGTGTGTGAGTGAGTGAGAGAGAGAGAGAGAGGTATCATGTTCTTAAATAGCTTCATCAGATCAAAACTCTCATTTGAATATCATGCATGGCATCCAACCAAAGCAATCCTTATACCATGCCTGGACACTCTGCAACTTCAGTCCATGACTGGGGGTGGTCATGTGGAGACCTAAATTACTACTAAATAACAATGACTGAGAACAAAAATAATGAGTTAATTTTTTTAAGGATTGCCTTGCATCCAACTCATTTAAAAATGTTGAAACTATTATTAACGCCTTCAAATAATACTAATAGTAATTGCCGAATAGTAATTCATATAATGATCAGTATAGAGAATAATGGTAATTCACATTTATATTTTTCCTTTACAATCACATGATCTACTTACTTAATAATGGAATCGTTCGTGTTTGCTCACTGGCGATCTGTGTTCAAACTACAGTGTTGGCAACGACACTTTATTCCTATACAACAGAAATATTATATATAGTATTAACTTGTATGAGATTTTCTCATATACCAACTAAAAATGGCAACAAGCAAGTTGTGTGAAATCAAATTTCTTTGCTTTTTTGGTTGTTTTTTTTTTTTTATCAGCAGCATATCAACACCTCTATGGGTTATTGAATGCTGAAATTTAAATATTTTGTGCACAGTTTTATTTATTTACTTTTTGAGATAATAATGGTTTTAGTGATATAAATCTTACTAATTAACCCATAGCTGGGAGAGAAGAGGTAGAGACATCTTTCCTAATGTAATGTATGTGAATATAATAACCCAACAGGAATTTGAACTTGGCTCTCTGATTAAAAATTCCAAGCAATTATGCATTACACCACCTGCGCATCCAAGCTTACAGCACCTGGTATTCCTAAGGGGTCACCCATCTAGTAATGACCAGGCCTGACATGGATTAATTTCGGTGACCATATGGGAACTGGTCTTTAAACATGATGTGACTGTAAGCATTTGTTTATTTTTTTTTGTTTTTTTTCCCCCTATCCTGGAATTAATTACAATTTTAACATTAAAACTTGGAGATAAGTAATGCCAATGTGTTTTATTGTCACAACTTATTTTATATGAGAAATATTGCAGGATATAAATTGTTAAACCATTAATACCCTCTGTAAAATCTGGTTTGGTTTATTTTGTTTTGCGACATATCAATACCTCAATGGGTTATTTATTGCCGACAAAATTTTTATTGCTGGTAATATTTTTTTTTCAAAAAATGTATAGCTGGTAATATTTTTTTTTCAGAAATTTATTGCTTCTAATAATGTATTGCTAGCAATAATTTTTCTTCAAAAATTTATTGATGGTAATAATTTTTACAAAGTGTTTCTGGTATTAAAACCTATTTTTACACTTTCATAGTGTTTTGACCCCAGTTTAGTGGTTTAACTATTTGCCCAAAGCTGGGACCCTAACAGATGCTACCACTTCGGGTCAGTGTGGATCTGTGAATACAACTAATTAAGAGATTGTTCTCAAGACCTCCTGATCAGAGGCCTTGCTGTTGGATATATTTTATTGTCTTATCGAAGACGCGTATTTAGTTTGTGGTCATACCCAGGACGGTGTAAAATCTGGTATTAATTATTAAAAATAAACACTTGGTATGAATTATATATTTAATACTATAATGAATTATAGGTTTATGGAAGTTAAAAGTTGCGTGTTGGTGTGTATTTCAAGTGGGGGCATGTTTAAATATAAACGATTATTCATACAAGCAATTAAAGACCGTGTAAAGAAAAACTTGATTTTCAACTACAGACTATTTTTATAGAACCTGACGAGAAACAAAGTTCTTAATGTCTCTTGGACATGTCCAGTTCGTTTTTCTGGTCCACAATTACAGTAAGTACTAGCTTAAAAGGCATTTAAACTAACTCCAACAGAGGGCTCTTGATTGGGCCTTTATCACAATAGATAGCGAGGAGTAGATGCCATAGGCAACAATAAACTCCAGAAGAACTCAAAATTGATTACTGTATTTAAGTATTGCATTGATATTTGAGCTTTCCTTTTAAAAGTTCAACGAGAATTCTTCTGCCAAAACTTAATTTAAAGATAATTTGATGTATGTAAACCCTTACTTTCCATACAAACTGTCATGGGTCCTCACCTATAACTACAGAATGAACTCTTCCTAAGACTATGTATACTACGCCTCTCAAGAGAGAGGGACGATTCAAGCCAAGCTTCTCAGCTTGACAGTCAAACTCTCTGCCTCTGAGCAGGGAGGAACCCAGATGAGGCTCCGCTGAAGGGCAAAGTCTTGTTCGGGGATGTTGACCAATCTGGTCCCATTTATACGGGTTCTAAGGGCATTTTTTGGCAGAGCCTACGGGCTCGGGAAACTCACATTAAACTTAGCCTTGTGCCACATGCAACCTCGTGGGTGGGGTGGGGGGTCGGCTAGATACCGAATCGAGTCGAGCCGATAGTAGTTCACTCCAAACCAGACTGACAGTCATACTAACACCTTCCACATCTTGTATTATTATTTCATGTAATATACCTTCGTTATTTCTACTCTTGTGTTCGTGTTGTTCTTCCTTGGTCCTAACCTGGACCATAACACAAACAATTATTTTTATTTCATGGGTGACTTTCGCTGAATTTAGCAATTAATTTCGATTATTCCCAAATTTATTTCCATGTTATAAAAATTGTTATCATACAAAAAAAATTTGTCACAAAAAATCATGTAAAAATATTACCGAAAACAATCGCAGTAATGAAAACTTGGGAACCCAAACTTTCTGACTTGGGGGTCTGGATCCAACCAGGAATGTTTATAATTTGTTCATGGAGTTGACCTGATTCCAAAATGTTGGGTTACAGCTTCTAGGAGTGAAGTTGAAAAAGTGTGACACACTGACATTCACATTTATTATATAGAAGGATAAGCATTGTTATAATGGTTGAGATCAAGTCAGGCTTGTATTGAGATTGAACAATCAAAGAAAGGTTGCATTTATTTCATTGGTAGTTATAATGGTAACACTTAGGTCAGCCTTGCATTGAGTTGGAAGACCAAAGCAAAACTTGTCTTAATCTATCGGTGGTTTTGGTAAACCATGTGCAAACGCTATGAGTTGGAAAGTGAAAGAGAGTTTCTGTTTCTGATTCAGAAGTTCGAGCACATCATGATAAGCATGGTTATAATGATTGAACTCATCAGCGTTTTGCAGAGTTGGAATGACCAAAGAAAAGGTTGATTTACTTCATACGTGGAGTATCGTATGGCTACATCATGGAGCAAGAGGGAGAAAGTTGGAAAGGAAGGAAATATTTGTCTTTTTATAGATACGTAACAGCGTCACCTAACGGGCGTTTGCAGAAGCCACGCGGAGTAATAAGATTTCCGGTTACTTTTTCACTAGCATCATGGAAAAATGTATTTCTTTATTATCATTATTATTATTATTTGTGTACGTATTATTTCTGTATCCTGTAGAGCCGGGTCCAAACTGTGGTACTTAAGTCCTACACGAGAATTGTCATTTAATTGATAGCTCTTTTCCTTGTAGAAAAGAATGTAGAAATCAAGAAATAGAAATAATGTTCCTAGTAGGGTGATCTGGGCAACTTGTATGTTGATATTACCTGGGACACTGTGAATAAAATTGCCCATTCCTTTTCTCACGAGGCACAGTGCTCCGATTACTATTGGTACAGTCTCAGTCTTCATTCCCCACATCCTGTTAAACTCGATCTCCGCGTCATTTATCGATAATTTTCATGGAGGTGTTTCTCTCAGATGGTACTGCTGTCAATAAGCGTACACTTCTGAAATTTGTTGTCTTTTATAAAATCATGTCTGTTGGCTTTTATTTCCCTGTTAGTTTGATTTGGCATGTCCTGGATTATTATTATTATTATTTTAATCGGAGCTCTGGGCTTCGTGATAAAAGGAATGGACAATTTTACTAAGAGTTCCCTAGGTAACATCAACATACAAGTTGCCCAGAAGATCGCCCTGCTAGGAACATTCTATATACTAAGAAAGGTGCTATCTATTAAATAACAATTTTCCTATAGGGTCTAAGGACAATAGTTTGGACGCCGTTCTACAGTATACAAAGCAGGAAACATAACATACACAAATAAAAATAATAATAATAATAATAATAATAATAATAATAATAATAATTTTCAAGGACCGAACAGGTATTCTATTTCACTGATCCAAGCCAGTGACACTGCTTCTCGGCCCATTGTGCACAGACACTTTGATTCTTGAAGAAGTCCAGATATCAATACTTACGTCATTTTTAAATAAGTTCCATTCTAGTTAGTTTGTTTCTTTGTTCATTTGTTTGTTTTGTTTCTTTCTTTCTTTCTTTCTTTCCCTGACTGTCTATTCCTTATAGCTTTAACGTCTAATGTAGGCAATGAAGACTGAGATTGTACCAATAGTAATCGGAGTACTGGGCCTCGTGAGAAAAGGAATGGACAATTTTACTAACAGTACCCCAGGTAACATCAACAAATAAGTTACCCAGAAAATCGCTCTACTAGGAACATCCCATATACTAAGAAAAGTGCTATCAGTTAAATGACAATTCTCCTGAAAGGCCTAAGGACCATAGTTTGGACCCGGCTATACAGGATACACAGAAGGAAACATAACATGCACAAATAATAATAATAATAATAATAATAATAATAATGATAATAATAATAATAATAATATTTTATTTATTAGTTTTATTTAATTTTCCCAATAGTTTTTTTTTTTTTTTAAATACAATATTAATTATAGTTTCTTACTAATAATCCATGAATGACCACTGTCCCCAAAATGGAATGGTGATCATTAACAAATAAAATTTTGATTGACTCCTTAGATCAGTGATCTTTACCCAGTATACAGCGGCACAGAGGGGGGGTACTGTGAGATGATCGGAGGTGTGCCACAAACATTTTTAAATTTGATTAATTAAATTACTTTCGAAAGAAGTTCAAAATACAATAAATGTATATAGCGAAATTAAAACCCCTTTAAGTTGATCAGTATAAATTTTAAATTAAATTATATCTAGTCCGGGTTATGACGATAATCTACATCCGGCAGCAATCCTTCTGCTCAAAAAATTGGAAGTTTTGAGGAGCGTGGAACCATCTCTTAATTGCTGTTGTTTCAAGGTCCACCCTGACTCAGGTGATAGCACCTGTTAGGCTCCCAAAAATGGGCAAATAGTGTACCCCCAAAGAAAAACAAAACACTATGAAAGTATAAAAATATATTTGTATAATAAAATACCAGCAATATATAAAAAAATTGCTAACAATGCATATTTTTAGTAAAATTGCCTACAATACAATTTAAAGCAAAATGAACACTAATACATTTTATAGCAACATGATCAGCAGTACATTTGATCTGTAACTGAAGGCATGAAATTGTGTTCAAAATATTTAAATTAATTTTTGGCATGAAATGACCCATAAGGAGTTGATATGCCGTTAAACAAACAACGAGTTATACTAAATAAACGTACACATAATATATAAAGTGGGTTGCGTGTGCGAAATGAGGTCCCGCAAAACGCCCATAGATGGCGCCACTTGACAAGGACGTGCTGAGCAACACCGATATGTGTCAAAATCATCCATAATTGATTTCGGGAATGACTCAGCAATCCCTCATTATGCACCTATTGTAATTGTGTCCGAAATAGTGAGTGCGTTTAATTTATACAGAACGTATTTTATTTTACTACATAACGTTCAATTAAAAGTCTTTTTTAAGAATTTTTATTTTTATTTTTTTATTACAAATTATAATAAACTAGCAGCATGACCCGGCGTTGCCCGTGCTTGATTCAAAAATCGTACGACTCATACAGCAATCGCTATCACTTGACTTAAAGTATTTTTGCCCTTGCTTGCCTTTAAAGGAGTGCCCTTTGCCGTGCTGATGTTGCTACATGCCTTACTCCTTG